GAGCGCCCCAGCCGGGCCGCAGCTTCTTCCCGCCTCAGCCCACGCCGAGGCTCCGTTTACGCCCCGTTTTCGTCCCGTTTGTGCCCTCCGCCCCGCAGCGCGGCGAGGGGGGGCCTGTGGAGGAGCCACCGCGCCGGCAGCGCTCGGGCCGGTCCGAGCAGAGGCCGCAGAACAACGTCACTAAAGGCAGCGGGGGAAACGCAAAGACGCGAGATGTGTTTCTTTAAGAGCTCCTTTGGGTTTATAGAAAGCGGAACAATTCACAGCGCATTTCACTGTGCCCATGACACGTTGAACAGGACACACTGGGCCTACCCTGACTCCCCCTGGAACTTAAAGCAAGGACAAGAAACAACGAAAATACCTTTTTATCCCCTTACACAGCTGCAACCAGAGGGGTCTACAAACACAGCATCTCCAGAGGTTTTTGTTTGGTTTTTAGCACATGCTGCAGTAAGACAGTAAGGATTAAGTCACTGGAAGTCTTGCTGGATATTCTCCTTGTTTGCTTCCCCGTGCTGCTGTTTGATCTGTGAAATTTCATTTTCTAGCTGCACAATAGTTCGTTCGATCTCGTAATTTTTGCTGACAAGAGAGACCCATCTGGAAGGGAAAAGAAATAAAAAAGCTTTCAAGTGCTATTTAACAGTCCTCTGTTTTAAAATCAAAGGCAATTACCGCTCCAAAGAAAGCACAAAGACACCAAATAAAGCAGGCTTTTTCTGCATACATGACAAACCTCAGTTGATGACAATGGTAATTTGAACAATGAAAGTGCTAAAGTTAAACCTTAACAAACAAAATTCAATTGACTGGACTCAAATCCACTAACTTCCGACATTTAGATGAAGAAGAATTTAAGAAATCATTTAGACAGACAATTTCCAGCAGCTGATATACCCTCCTCTTCACAGCTGTTGCTTACTGGTTCCCTCAACCACAGTAACCATCATTAGACCTGAATTACAAATCCTTTAAAACACTTTGTGCAAAGCAACAGTATTGACACGGTAACATCCTGCAACAGTACCAAAAGATGACTGATGCTCTGCATGGAAGGATTTCAAGCAAAAGATATGCTTGTGAACGATTGACCAGAAAAGGTCTAGATACTCACGTAGATTCCATTTCTCGTAGCTTAGCCCCAGCTGTGAGCTGCATGTTCTTCCGTTGCCAGTTCAGATCTTGAATGTTTTTCCTAGGGAGAAAAAGATTATGTGGGGTTTTTATCTCCTTTCTTTAAAGTCTGCAGTATCTGCTGCTGATTTCAAAATACACTTAATCCCTAGAAGCACCCTCAGAAAACACTTGTGTACCCAGGACTGTAACTACAACATCTACATGGACAAATCTCAGCACAGGGCTGCACACAGAACCCTGAGAACACAGATAAAGAAAACCCCTCCAAAATGAAAAAGCTTCCACTCTACTACAAGCAAAACTTCAAACATTCCCGCCTACTGCTCCTGAACAAGTACAGAACGCAGGAAATCTGTTTTGTTCTCTCTGAAAAAGAAGTCAGAAAAGCAGAGATGAACTGCTAATCATTCACAAAATTCAGTAATTCAGTGAAGCACAGAATACTTAAAATACTTCGGTCTCTGAGTAGCTCTTATCTCACACTGCTAGGGTTCGTATTCTGTTGGCCTCCTTGCCCCACATCACGGGTTCCTTCAGCCTCCCCAACTTGAGTTCTGCTTCTACCCTTTCGGACACCAATTCTGTCCAAGACAGTAATTCCAGCTAATCTGAATAGGCAGGTACTGATAAAAGATAAACTCGCGATGCAACTTGCCCTCTTCCCGTCTCCCAGCATACAGTCTCATCTTCAGGCAGAAAATGACAGTTGTTCACCTATATCTGAAAGTTGAAAAGCTTCACTTGCCAAGTCCACAGCATGCTGTCTAATTAGAGTGAATTATGAACGTGCATCACTTTGACATACTACAACCTCCATCCCAGAGTAATCCATCTCTATAAACTCATTAAAGTACCCACTTTAAAAAGACAGGCCAAGCCTAACACCAGGGAACGTGTCTTCAACAAGAGAATGGCACGCTAACTAGAAGTCTATCAACAGTGAAAACCAAACAGGACTGCATTTCAGAGAGGATTCCACCACAATCCATTCTGTTCAAAGCAGAGGTTAGACAAAACAAAATAAAGAAAACAAACACAGAGTTTGAGTGGAATAAGCGTTATGAATGTAACTGCCTGGGGAGGGCAGGGTCAGATGTCTTGTTATTACTGGGTCTTTTCGCCTATGCCCGTGGCAGCAGCACATACACAAACCTTCGTATGGCTTGGGGGAGGAAGAGGGGTTTGCTTTCCTTCCCACTTCAGTATGAAAACATGAAAAAGAATGACTCACCTCAACTTCTGGAGCTCTTTCTGGGCTTGTTCTATCATATGAACCAAATGTCTACAACAGAAAGCAAGCAAAGCATTAGGAGAACGTACAATTGCTACATCAGACCCATTTAACTCTTCTGAGTCAAGGACACAACAGGCCATTTCATTGCAAGACCAGACGACTTGTTCTCAGTGCAGTCTGTGCTCTTCGCTCCCGAAGGGAGCAACACAACGCCAAAACACTCCAATTGTAACAGAGGCAGTTTTAAGACATAAACCTTCAATAATCATGGTGGTCAGCCCTTGCCATCAGACAGTATCATGAAATCATATCCATTAGCTGATCAAGTTTTATCTTCGAGCCTGTTACCGTGTGCTTGTGCTATTCGGACTAGAATGCTATTGTAACATCTCCCTACCTTATCGCCCATCTTCTCACTTTAATTCTAAAATTACCTGTAACCAATTTTTGTTATTGCTTCCCTCATATAACACTGTCAGAGCACAAACAGTTCTTTTTCCTTCCCAACACATGTGCCAGCTAAGAGATCCTCTACCTGCCTCCCTTCTCCTAAGCTAAGCAACCCTTTGCCTTCTCTCAAAGGCAGGGTCCACAATGCTTTTGTCCACACCTTTACCTAAGGCTAAGCTGACCCTTCTCCAAAGTAGACACTAACATTCTCTGCCTGAAACAGCCCTGGTACTTCCTGCAGCCACACTGTCTGTGACTTTTTTTTTGCTTTTGCAACAGCTTATTAATATCGGCTCCAGCCTGAGCAGGATCAGTAGCAAGTCATCTTTATTCCCACTGCTAAACTATCACTTCACAGGTTGTCATTACTCCCTGTAGTTCTCCTCAGTTAAAGCCCATTATCACCAACCACCTCCTAAACAATAACTCACAAAATTCAAGACTAGGGTGTACTGAAACACAGACTGTTTCTTGGCCAAAGAGACAGCCCCTTCTCTTTCAGATCAGCCTCTTCTTCCACACGCAGCTCTCTAAGGGGCTCAGTTACCGCAGGACATGTTCTAAAGATCCCCACAGGACTTACACAGGAAACCATGAAAAATACACAGAAACTAAGTCAGAGCTTCAACCAGGTTCAGCAAAGCAGACGACGGCCTTACTCGTTGTACACCTTCCAAGCGTTACAACCGTGCTGCGACATCAGCTCCAGGTTCTCGATGCGGACCGCCTGGTGCTCCAGCTGCGCCATGGAGTTGTTTACACACTCCTGCCACGCCGTGATAT